AGAAACTGTCAGAGAACGCTAACAGCAGAACGAAGAAGAATTAACTGATGAAAGTGGGTGAAGGAGGAAAGTGGAGGCGGCAGAGAGATTGTTCAGGGCAGAGGTGCATTTGAGGAACCTATCTGTGGTTAAGTCGAATAGAGTAAAAAGTATAAAGCTGGATTATACAGGACCTTACAGGTCTTGTTGAGAAGTAGAGAAATCATCTATTGAAGGGTTCATGCACAAACATGTTACAGCCAACTTTGTTTCTAAAAGATTACTGGCTACAGGATAGAAAATGAAATGGAGAGAAGTCATAATATGTCTAAAGAAGGCGTGGCTTTGATTGTGACCTAATGGGTTGTAAAGTCAGAGTCTAGATAAAGGAGTTTGGAGGTATCCACTAGAGAGGCCATGATTGTGACAGGTTTTATTATTATTCATGATTTCCTGTCTTTTCTTTTCAGACTTCTCATTAAAAGGCCATCGCTTTAGGCTTTGAGAGTTAGTTTCCTTCCCCATTGTTCAGTCCCTTAAAACTACTGCTCAGGCCCCAGTGTGCTCTTCATTCCTTTACACCCAGACTTTTCTGCCACTGACCCCCAAATGCCTTAAAAGTGCCTTATTTCCATAGCGTTTTACTCTCAATCACCTGCAAAAGATAGGAAATATATAATGTAATAAAGGAATTCTCTGTATGAGTGTTAATTAATAATGCCTTCTCAGGCACTAATTCCCTCATTAGCTATTTGCATTTTAATAGAAAAAGAATACAGGAGGCCTGATGGCCTTAAAAATTAATCTCGAGTGATAAAATTCCTATCACCATCTAGAGAAATAGGAAAAATATTAATGGAGATTATGGAAACATTTCTGGTGCCCTTTGAATGACACTACTGTTTTGGCTGACTGTCCCACCTTGGAAGGCAGAACAGAGTCAAACAGAAATTTAAAAAACGTGAACAAACCCCGAGTTCCCAGAAATCGTCAGTAAACCACACATTAGTAAGCCCTCATGTCACTGGGGTCACCTGTGTTTCCTAGAATGCTGTTTTGAAATCACTAGCAACAGACACGGGTCAGGGCATGCATTCAAGGCAGAAAGTGGAGCGCTTTCAAAATAACCCATTTTCCTCCTCTGAAATGCCATCAACAGCATAACCACTTTTTTAATTCATCATAACCTTGTAGCTAGATCACTGATTATAAAGTCCTGAAATGAATAACTAGGGCTGGAGAAAGTGTTGGGCTCAGTATTTATTTTAATGATTTAGGGATTAATGGCCATTCATTTTCAACTCTTTGTAATTGAAGTCTTGAAATAATGGAATTTATCAGAGGAATGCCTCATTCACCCTTGTATAATTCGATCATACTGGAATGGCACACGTGGACTCATAAATCGTCTATGTGCACAGCAGGGTAATCTATCACACCAGCCTGGTGCAGCGGTGCTGGGGGGGGAGAAATATACTGAAGTGTGAGTTATTGCTTACTCTACAGAATCCCATATCTTCACGTCTTACATTTCCAGGAGGCTTTTCTTAGGATAACCATATCATTTATACTCACTGGACATTCATGATAAAAGGTACTTTTATTTTTATCATGAAGTTTTTTATCAGGGTTGTTTTATTATTTTTTTATGAAAACACAAGTGTTTCTGACAAAGTCATTTTCAGGCCGTCAAACATATATCATCGTTCCAGGCTTGGAGCAAAGGGGCCCTGTTGTCGGCACACACTGTATTGAATTAGCCGTAGACTCTCTAAGACACACGCCGGAAGTGATGTGCATTACATCAGATTAAATTGTCTTTGTGGGATAGTTTGCTCTTTAAAGCAAAGACTGTGTAACATTCTCTTTGTTGTGTAATAAGAAATTTGGTGATCCTTTTGAACCCCTGCAGAGTACAGGCATTGTTTTATAAAGACAAATATCTACTTTAAAGCATCAGTTTTCTAGAACTGATTCTGCATTTTGCTATTCAAATTATTTTCAGAGGCGGCTCCTGTGGCTCAAAGGCATGGGTCCCAGAGCCCCATATACCAGAGGTGGCAGGTTCAATCCTGGCCCTGACCAAAAAACTGCAAAAAAAAAAAAAAATTAATTTTCATACTCCATGCCTAAATGTGTGTGCTGATTAAAGTCTCAATCCACTTATACTGATACTACACATGATGGGAGCCTTGTAGCCTAGAATTTTCCATCTTAAGAGAATGTTTATAAAACATCACACATGCTATACTCATGAAAAATGTCATTTTTATATGGTTTACATTTAGGCTTTATTTATTTAGGCTTTATTATGTATTGGTGTTTTCCATTTTGTTTTCAAGATTTTCTATGTAGGCTTGGCGCCTGCGGCTCAAGCAGCTAAGGCGCCAGCCACATACACCTAAGCTGGCGGGTTCGAATCCAGCCCAGGCCCGCCAAACAACAATGACGGCTGCAACCAAAAAATAGCCAGATGTTGTGATGGGTGCCTGTAGTCCCAGCTACTTGGGAACCAGAGGCAGGAGACTCGCTTGAGCCCAGGAGTTGGAGGTTGCTGTGAGCTGTGATGCCATGGCACTTCACCCAGGGCTTGAGGCTCTGTCTCAACAAAAAAAAAGATTTTCTATGTCCTTGTTACACAACGTGTTGGACCAACACACTGCACTGATAGTATCAACAACTCTTGGAAGCTTGTTAGAAATGCAGATTCTCAGGCGCCACCCCAACCTACCCCACCACACTTCAATACAGAAGCAGAAACTGAGTTTTCCCAAAGTCCCTAAGTGACATGCTTGCACTTTGAAGTTTGAGAAGCACTATTGCAGACAGCTGTTGGACAGTAGATGACATTTTGATGGGAACAAGAATCATTAATGAACCTAAATGGGTTACTTATGAGGCAAAATAATAACGTTGTATTAACTTTCATTTTCCTGATTCCAGACATCGTGCCAGTTTGATTTTTACATACAGTTTTTCTCATTCTGGCCAAAAGAAAACAGAAGCCTGGCTTTTGAGGGTGGAGAAGTGAGTTGTTAGGAAAATGCAGCAATGTTCTAGTTATTGATTATAGCCCAGGGTTGAGTCTAGAGTGGAAGTTTTCAGATAAAAACAGGGATCATTTACATGTGAAAGGGATAGACTAGGGCCATGTTTTTCAACATTTTCTATCTCACAGCACCCTTGAACCTAGAGTTAAACTTCCGTGGCACGTTTAAATTATGTTGATCAAAAAATATAAGTGAAAAAGTATTTTGAACTTCTGTGCTTTGAACTTCTTTCAAAAATAATGTAGTTAATGTTCTTTAAAAATTTTGTGGCACACCTGAGAGCCTCTCATGGCACACTGGTTGAAGACAGGAACGTTTTATGAATGGCTAGGGTGGGGGCGGGAGTTACAGCAAAGGATTCAGCCAGCACAGGGAAGAGCGATTTTGGAAGGGACTTAGCCAACACGCTGGGGGTACAAAACGATTTCACCTATCTTCACACTTTAGAACTGTGAAGTGGTTAAGAGACTGTGCTGTGTGTTTATTTCATATATAAATGAATATAAACTTATATTTCACATATAAGTAATGTAATTGTATGCTACTTTGTATGGATCCAAGTGATTGTGATGTATAATTCTTAAAACTTTAATATTGGCATAGTAGTGGGTCTTCTTTAATGCATATTTATGAATATTAACTTTTTTCTTTGAGGAACAGGCTTAGGTTTAAGAACTGATGGAGAAGAATATAAATATGTTTGTGAAGGAGAGGAACTAGTTTCTGATCTCAGACTTTGACCTGATACACAGCACAGTAACTAATAAGCCAAACGACCACCATCTAGTCTGTTAACAGGTTTAGTGCTATTGGTATGTTTCATAAAGTTTTTTTGAATGGCGCCCAGAACTTAGTCATGAATGAAGAGCTTTCTAAGGCTGAAATGTTCTGAAATTCAGAAGAACTGATCATTCTTCTGTTTGCATTTGCTTTTAGGAACTCGGATCTATATTATTTTAGCGTGAATAGTTTCTATGAATTTAAAGGACATACTAAACAATCCCCGTTAGTGTCCTTGGGAGCCATTACAATAATTCCCTTTTCTGGAAGTAAACAGAAAAGCAGGCTACCTGGGTAGTCATACTAGAGATGAGCATTGTATTAGTTACCCAACGCTGCCCCACTAATTACCCTATAATTTGGCAGCTTAAAACAGAAAACAGTTAGTTTCTGTCAGTCACAAATCCAGGTTTGGCTTAGCTAGGTGCCTTTGGCTCAAGAACTTTCCTGACGTTGCAATCAGGCTGTGATCTCATCTGAAGGCTCTCCCTGTGGGGATTCATTTACTTGGTCATTGGCTGGCATGGGTCCCTCAACACCTGGGTTGTCCCCGGGGCTGTCTTACGACATGGCAGCCAGCTTCCTACCAGGCCAATAATCCAAGAGAGCTCAAGAGAAAGAAAGCAAGCCCAAGACAGAAGCCTTAGTCTGTTTATAAGCAGAAGTGACGGTCTATTCTTTCTACCATATGATAGTCATTAGAAGCCAGTCAGCGAGTTCAGCCCACACTAAAGGGGAAGAGACCACAGTGTGCGGGCACAGGACCCCCTGCAGGGGGACACCCCAGGACATTGACTACAATTTTTTTTACCTTTCTTCTTGCTTCTATATTTTCTATCATGTCAATTTTGGGCATATGTCACTTTCATAATATGGAAATGAAAATGTTAAAGCCAATAAAATTATAGTGAAATTATATCAGAAATATTCACCAGAAGAGTCACCTCTCCTTAGAGCTGTCTTAGTAAGACAATTGAATTGGCTAAAGACAGGATACATTAATGACCTTCCTGGCCACACATTAGATCATGTCATGAATCCCCGTCTGAGATCATTACCTGAACGGGGTTTTGTATGGCTTGTAAACTGTTAACACTGAAAATGGCAACAGCAACCCCCTCTGGTGGTAATATGAATTCGTCGGTATTTTTCAGTTGCCTAACCATCTCCTTCTTGCTTGGTTCTCGATAGCATGCTGGAGAGCTCGAACCGGCTTGACGAAGAACACAGGCTGATCGCCAGGTACGCAGCAAGGCTGGCAGCAGAGTCCTCCTCGTCTGTAAGTAGCTTGAGTGGAAGGATTCATCTGTTGGCATCTGGGATCCTTGAATTTCTTATGTTATGTTCGTTGTTACCATTATAGCTGATGTTAGTGACCAGGACAGTTTGTGCCAACTTTACCGTTCATGTGTGCATTGCTATGTTTGTGATAGCTGGTGGTGAATTTCCAGTTTTAAAATGGCAGGCTTGAGGAACAAAGCAATCTCCAGTAGCATGGCCCTGCAGCCAAGAAGGAAGTCCATGTCCCCTTCGCCCAGTGTCAGCCCCGCAGGAGGACCTGAGGAAGGGAGCAAGGACTGGTCATGATTTTTTTTTAATAGATTTAAGGCAGGTGTGTTTCGCAAAGGCTGGAGGCTAAGGCAGAATAATTGCAAGTGACACAATATACTAGGAGAGGCAAAGGAACTGATATCTTCTTCCATTTGCTTCTGTCTCTAAGACAAAAGCAGCAAGCAGTTTGAAACCTTGATTCAGAATTTGTCTGCGCTAATGGAGGTTGGGCTGTGATTAGGGCCCCACAATAGACAGTGAACGGGAGGGGAGCCAGTGAGGAAGCGGGTGCCTCCTCCGCTCGGAGCAGGTGTTGCCGTTATCAGAGCCCTTTGTGGAGCATTTCACGAGCAAGCACTACCATGAGCAAGATGGACGAGTCCACAGCAGGCTGAAAAGTATACTGTCTGGCCCCTAAATCAGCTGTGGTCAGAGAGATGTTATTTCAGTACATGAAATTTTAAATTCCATAAAGAGCAAAAGTGTTAAAATGAGAGAATAAAGGGAACTAGATTTTAGGACATGCAACCCCTTCAGGAGTCATTTGAAAGGAAAGACAAAAGGCTTCTGGAAAAACCTTTTTCCAGTTTTCTTGCCCCATGCATTTACTCTATAAACAGAGGGTGTGGCATGGTGAGGCGGACTCACAGTGTGGTATTCTGAGTCTGCGTCCCGGCTTCCATCATCACTAAGTGCCACCTCTTTGAATCCAGTTCCTCATCTGTCATCTGTCAGTGGGTAGAATTATAATTACTGTATATGTCAGTGCTGCCTGTTACTAAGGTCCAGTGAGATATAAACATGTGTAACAGTGCTGCGTTAACAGTGGTCTAAAACACAAATTTGTCCTCCAGAAATGTTTTGTGAAGGCAGTTCTTTTAATTCCTTATTGGCTGTCAGACTTTACATCTCAGGGTTTCCCTTAAAACTCCGGATTTTCAGCTGAGAGACCAAGTGCATGGTCCTCGTGGCAGTGGAGTCGAGGCAGCCCTCTACCCTCTTTGGAAAGGGTAAGAGTGCCACACTTTGCCACAACCCATACCTTAGGCCCTTGTCATTTGGGTTACCTACCTACCCCTTTTCAATGAGTGACTCTGGTAGGCTTCTAAATCCCTAGGCACAAGTTTTTATTTATATGTGCATTAAATTCACCAGTCGTCATTTTATTTCTGTCTTGAACACATCAGTAACTTGTGTTACTTGCCTACTTAGGTCCCACAACCTCTGTGTGCCCATCACAGGAAAGATACCATCTGCACATTAATTCTAGTTCCTTTGTCAATCTTTTTATAATCACATATCAAGAACTGTATGATTAGCTTAATACATCAGAATTAGTAAGATGACACCAGTTTAGAAAGGAGATAGAAAGATCATTTCCAGCCAGTGGCTCACATCTGTAGTCCCAGAACTCCGGAAGGCCAAGGCAGGTAGATTACTTGAGCTGAGGAGTTTGAGACCAACCTGAGCAAAAGCAATACCCTGTCTTTATACTCAAAATAGAAAAACTAGCTGTGCATGTTGGCAGGCGCCTACAGACCCAGCTACTCAGGAGGCTGAGGCGAGGGGATCATCTGAGCTCAAGAGTTTGAGGTTGCTGTGAGCTAGGACACCATGGCACTCTGCCCAGGGCACAGAGTAAGACTCTGTCTCAAATAAATAAAAAATTAAAAAAATTGCCCTGTACTTGGGTGCATTTCTGTCTGGATAATTCCTGATTAATTAATGTAAAGAGAAAAGCAATGGCTGAAATCCACAACTGACTCAGATAAATTTCTACCATTTATGAATACATAAAACAAATACACACACGAAAGAGAAGCATACATAGTAAAATCGGAAGAAAAACCTGGACCACAAGTCCAAGCTGCTGTATGCCAGACTTTGCTATAGAAAGCCACTTAGGATATAAAATGCAGGACCTCAGAAGTTCTCATTAGCAATGCGAATCATTTCTTTACTAAAAAGAGATGTGGATTTTTTTCTTTACTAAAAAGAAATGTGGTTTAAAAATCATAGAATGGTTTTACAAAAAAACAGGCCTTTACTAAACTTAACCATCCCTACAGTCAGATTTCTGGGCATTAAAAAGCCGGTTTAATTTCTCCTTATCTTTTGGCTTATGCAACAGGTGTTATTTATAAAAGCTTTTCATTCCACGGTAGAAATATCAGCTATGATTTTTAAATCTTGTTTTTAAAAAATAAAAGTTAGTGGGGTGCTGTGGCTCACACCTGTAATCCTGGCACTTTGGAATGCCAAGACGGGCAGATTGCTTGAGCACAGGAGTTCGAGACTAGCCAGAGCAAAAGCTAGACCCCATTTCTCCTAAAAATAGAAAAATTAGCTGGGCGTTGTGGCAGGTGCCTGTAGTCTCAGCTACTTGGGGGGCTGAGGCAGGAGAATTGCTTGAACCCGAGAGTTTGAGTTTGCTGTGAACTATGATAATACAAGGATGCCACAGCTCCCGATCCAGGGCAACAGAGTGAGACTCTGGCTCCAAAACAATAAATTACTGAATTAAAAATTGAGTTGGAGGAATTTCTTCAATGTACTTTTCTTCAATATACAAAGGAAGCAAGACCCAGACAAAAGTTAATCTGAAACCATTTTTTTAAATAAAATACCAAATAAACTCTTGCCTCTATATAGACAGGCATATAAATATGGTATGATATGATTTATGACACATATGTTTATATGGGAATGGAGAGATCTCTGACTTCCTATGTAGCAATTGATAAAGGCAATTGCATGACCGAGAATGAGGAGCTGATGTCAGGTGAAGATGGAAAGATCAAATATATACATGTATATGAATCCATCAATGTAAAATGTCATGTGAAAAAAGAAACGCATAAAAAATATGTTAATCCAAAGACGCAGAAAAGACGTGTTAACTACGATTTTAAAACTATGAAATATTTAATTGTACATTACAGTCATTGAACAATAATTCTATAGCAAGAACTATCTCAATACCTATCTTGAGAGAATAGTTACGATGGAGACAGCATGGTGAGAATGAGATAGACTCCCGAAGACTTCAAGTCAGGAAGCTAAAAGGCACTTGTTCCTATGTTTTTTATATTTGCCTGCCAAAGAATTCGATTCAGCTCTCCATTCCTTCTTCAGCGTAGAGGACCTCCACGTCCACGGAAAAGTCAACCCTTAGGCGAGGAATGGCCGTTTAATCTTCTGTATTTGCTTTTATTGTTTTGACAGAAACAGTTTCCTCATCTGCATAGCTCACGACTCCATCTTCCCAAGTGCATAGGTCCACCTTCCCAATATTAAATTCTGTGAACTACATATTTTACAGCAGCCACCTCAGCAGAGAAGTGCTCCTGACATCTCCTTCACTATTGACGCAAATAAGCAACAAAGGCAGCTGATTGCAGAACTAGAAAACAAGAACAGGTAAGGCCTGGTAGGCACGCTAGCTCGTTGGATCAGCTTGTGCGTTCATTAGTAACTAGTAGTCGCACTCGAAAGTCTCTGGGCCAGCAGTTCTCAGCCTTCCTAATGCCGCAGCCCTTTAATATGGTTCCTCATGTTGTGGTGACCCCCGACCATAAAGTTATTTTCATTGCTAGTAGCAATGATCACAACCTCTTCCTTCACTCTATCAATCTGACCTCAGATCTCGTTTCATTACTACTATCAATGAAAATAATTTTATGGTTGGTGATCACCAACATGAGGAACCGTATTAAAGGGTAACGGCATTAGGAAGGTTGAGAACCACTGCTGTGGGCTTTTCACCCTGTGTGCATGTTCCAGGGAAGACATCTACAGTCAGTGCTGCTGAAAAGCTGGTCTTGAAATCTTTAGATCTTCTGGTGCTTAATGAGAAAACCGTGTGGGGTGTGGTTGTGGCTGTGTGTATATATACAGTTCTGAGATGTCAATGAAATTAATGTTATCTCTCTGGATAGTCTTCATTTCCCTTTTTTTGGCATACTTAATTTCGTTCAGGAGCCAGGCACACGGTGTCTCCACCACCAGAGAGAAGTAGGTGGCTGGCCTGGGAGGCTCCCCGTCAGGACCCCAGGTGAAAGAGTCACCTGGAGCAACACCACCATCATTCCTTTGTTCAAGCCAAACCCCTCCGCCTCCAGCCCGACAGCAGGTCCTTCCTCTGTTCAGCACAGACTGGTTCACGGTTTACTCAAAAACTGCCCGCTTCATCTCCACCACCACCCAATCCAGCCTGTTCTTCCTAAAAACATCCATCATCTCCTCACTCTCAGGTCAAACCATCTGCTGATTCCTCATCATACTTTTTCATTAACACCTGCTCCTATCCCTCTGGCCCGCGAGGTCCCACCTATACTGGTTCCTAGCTGACTGTCCAGCCCCAGCTCATCTGCTGACCACAGCCAGGTTCATGACACCTCCGCCGCACGGCCCTGCAGTAGCTCCTCTCTCAGCTGCGAAATTTCTCCCAGGCCTCTGCGGGGAGGGCTCCTTCTTGTCATTTAGTTGTCAGCCCAAATGTCACCTCCTAAAAGACCACTTGTCTAATCTTGAAACCCTCTCTACTACAGCCCCCTCTGTGGGGTGGGGGGAGGCGTCTGTGTGTGTTACAATCATCAGTGTCTGAAATAACTACTTATATGTCTGCTTCCTTATTCATTATCTGTCTTCCTGACTGCAGTAGAGGTTCTTTGAGAATAGAGGCCACGCCATATGGCCCCTGGGGCCCAGAGCCCTCCCTGGAACATTGTAGAGGCTCAGGAAATATATACCGAGTGAAAAAATAATAAATAGCCGGGTTGAATCTCGGACTCAGTGCTGAGTAAGACCAACACAGGAACAATTTGTACATCCTGCTTTTCTTGCAAAAGCGTCCCTGTGTTCCGTGCTCACTGTCATTCTTCAACACTCATGTGACGTCTGAGGTCAGACAGGTAGAGTAAAGGAAGAGGTTGTGGTCACCATCTCACGCCTGGAAAGTCTGACCTGAGAATTTGGGAGGAATGCACAAAGTAGTCTTTAAAGTTCTACAGAAAAAATAAAAAGGAAGATGCAGCCTCCATTGGCACATTTTCCTATTTTTCCTAGTGAAAAAACTTTTGCCTTCATTGTCTTAGGACCTGGTTCTCATCATTAGGAAATAACAAATTAAAATAGAAATAGCTCCATCCAGGTGACACCATGACTCTCTATTGCCTTTGAAACTGCTACTCTATTCTGAACCCACAGGGGATCAGCTTCCGTCAGAACTGAAACACAAAAGAATGTTTGCCACAGGGGAGCCCTCTCAGTTTATCAAGGAGTAAGAGGCAGGAATTAATAAGGGACAGAGAAGGGGCATAGAGAAGAGTTAGAAAAAATTAGAATTTGTTCAGGACAGTCGCAAGGCTATACAATTACCTATTCAATTTTGTATAACATTAATTATGTCCTCAGTGCAAAAACTTGTGCTAAGGTGGAAAAGATGTTGAGAAAAGGGAGTGGTTTCAAATGAGCAAAGGCACTGAAATCCAGTAAGAGAAATAATCCATAGAAAGGAAACAAGTAGTTGAGGGACGACGGCGGGTAAAGGAGGGGCAGGGAGGCACTGAAGAAAGCGTGAAGGCTCAGAGCAAACAGTGTAAGAGTCACTGTGGACGCTTGGTTTGGTGGAAGGGCTGTGAAAGTTCTGATGGTGATGAGAAGTTGGCGAACACAGAGGCCATGTTCAAATGTTGTCTCAACGTTTTACATCAACTCAGACACCAAAGAGGGCATGGAAAGAAAAAGAAAGAAAAATGGAGGCTTAACACCTGTAGCACAGTGGGTAGGGTGCCAGCCATATACACCAAGGTTGGCAGGTTCGAACCTGGCCTGGGCCAGCTAAACAACAATGACAACTTCAACAAAAAACTAGCCAGGCGTTGTGGTGGTTGCCTGTAGTCCCAGCTACTAGGGAGGCTGAAGCAAGAGAATTGCTAAAGTCCTAGAGTTTGAGGTTGCTATGAGCTGTGACGCCATAGCACTCTACCAAGGGTGACATAGTGAGACTCTTTCTCAAAAAAAAAAAAAAAAGAAAGAAAATGGACCAATTTTAAATTTTTGACAATTAGATTTAACCTGAAGTTTTAACTTCTTTAGAATAAAATGTTACTATTGGTAATATAGTGCCCAGGAGTTCCACAAAGACCACACTGCCAAACAGGCCAAATTTACATTAGAGTCCTTTTATTAAAGAGCCAGCTGATGACTGCCTCAGTGTCCCAACATGGGGTATCTGAGAGCAGCCCCAAGTGCTTAAGGAGTCAGGTCTTTAAGGCTTGGTCTACATCCTGGTTGGCATGCAGGCTGTCCAGATGTATTTGGGGGGGTTGTGAGTGGGTAGCAAGCAACCATTGTACAGAAGCAGAATTTTGCAGTGAGTTAGCTATATGTCATACATCTTTGTTTTAATATTTTCCCGTACATTTTAGTCTCAGTACTTTTGCTCCATTCATCTTTGTTTCAGTATTCTCTACCTAGCATTGTTTAAAGGTCAGTCTGGGGATAGTCAGTTCATTTCCCAAGCCCAGGAGTTAGTCAAGCAAGAAGTTAGTGAGTACTTTCCCATCTATCTTGGGGTGAACCAGGTTTATGTTGAGGGCTTGCAGCCCAGGAATTTGTCAGGAGTTAACTGGTATTTTTCTACTTTAGCCTAGACCTAACAGTAACCTTAGCAAATGTTAGAATTGGAACATAAAAGTGGTTTTTCTTTTTCTTTTTTAGTCAACAAAGTAAAACTCTAATATATGATAGGGAAGGGTGCCCAAAATGACTCACTCAGAGTCATTTTGTAATTGAGTCTGTGACATGGAGTGTCACTAAGTGACACTCACTGACTTAGTGACATGTACTACATAACAAAGTCAGCAGAGAAGAGCTGAAGAGAAAAGGATTGGAGGAGAGATAAAATCCACCATTTGATCTGAAGTAGGAGGCTATGCCAGCTTGAGGCACGAATGAACTTTGCCAGAGTTGAGGCCATTTTCTGGAAAAGGAACTGGCTCTCTCTATAGCCTGTTCACTCAGAGCTTCTACCAGATGTCATCCCACACATCCTTCTCCAGCTTAGGTCTCTATTCTCGAAAACATAGTGTGATTGCTGTCCACCAAGGAGCTGTCCACTGGGGAGAGGACCCCACCACGATTCATATCATACAAGTAGAGATTCTAGGTGGCCGTGGGAAGAAATTGGGGTCTTTGTTTTGAGGTATTGAAGAGAGAATAATGGCAATCTTATGTGGGTATAGTACAGGTGTACAAGAATTGCTTCATTTCACCCTCAGAACAGATAAGCCACTATTATCATCCCCACTGTACAGATTAAAATGCAAAACTGAGGTTTCGTTTCTATCCTTTTTCTCCAACATGACCCACTTTCCCATCATCATGACTTAGGTTGTGTAGGGTAAACTTGATGCCGGAGGTAGGATTGTAGTTGAAAAGCGAAATTTGGAAGTGAAACATGGGAGATGGAATTATGGGTAAAAATATACACTGACTTTGAGACAAGCAATGAGGACAGTTGCCGGGCCGGCACCGAGGGGCTGAGATGGAGAGTAAAATGGAAACACTGGTATATGGGGCTCGTACACCAGGCTAAAACATTTGAATTTTTTCCTGTCGTGGTAGACGGCAGTGATCAGGCACGTGACAGAACGTCTGCATGTGTGTGGCAGAACAATCAGCTTATTAAACTTGCGGCTTGCCCTTGCGAGGGCTTGATTAGGAGCTGGGGACACGATGAGGATCAACACTAAATAGTTAGCACGAGAAACAAAAAACAAAGGAACCAGAACAGGAGCCAACTAGACAAAAGCATAAACCTTGCTGGAATGTTTCTTTACAAGATTCTCTGTCGTTCGTTTCTAAACTTTCTAGGAGGGATTCTAGATTTTCCACCAGGGATCTTTACAGAACTCAGATTTCAGGAGCAGCCCTCTTCTCCTTCCCCCCTTCTTTCCTTCCTCCTATCCATCTGTCCTTGTGTGAAAAGCAAAGTCAGGGGTGGGGGATAGGAGTAAGGGATAAAATGTCAAGGCCCAGAGGGTCTCTGTGCACGATCAGAAGAAGGTCACAGCTGGCCTGATTTCCCACAAGTGCCAGCATCACTCCCATATCCCTTCTTAGAAAGAAAAGACTGAAGGGAAACTCCGCAGCCCACAGACACCTCCGCTGAAGCGTTCACCTGCTCTTCCACTTCTCCAGAGTCTGTTTTCAATTTTCTGCTTCCTCTCAGGCATGAGGACTGCACACTTGAGGGGAAGTCAGGACTTCTTTGGAGGAAATACTCCAGGATTATCTGCCTCCTTCTCAGTCTATTTCTGCTTCCAGAATCAACAGGAAGTTCCATGAATGCCCTGACCCGGCCTCAATGCCACTCATGGCTTAGACATTCTTAGATTGCGCTCTCTAGATCCATGTTAAAAAAAAAAAAAGCCAAAAGAGAAAAAAGAAAGGGGAATGAGACAAGAGGGCAGAAAGAGCTTCTTTCTCTCCCTGAGTTCGTTTGTGTCTCCCGGAGCTCTCCACCCCTCCTCTGATTAGCAGCTAGTCCTTGAGCTCATCTCTTAAGGCACGTGCTCCCCAAAGATCCCAAGGCACTGTCCCAGAAGTTCATCCAGGTCACACTTCTGCACTATGCAAACTTCCCAAGAGTCCCATGTCTCCAAAGTGATAATTAACCCAATAATCAGGTCTCTGAGTTCCTTACTTAACCCCATAACTCCGTCTACCTCAAGTGATTCATGCACATTTCCGTGATGACCTTTAGAAGATAACGCTTCCCTATAGCACCTTTGGAGGAACCAGTTAGTACAAGGAGTAAAAGCAATCTTCAAATTGCACTGTATAAATTACAGCCTGCCTTGGCTAGAACGGCTGAAGCAAGGGTCAGAGACTGAGGTAGTCTGACACATATGGGCTTCGGGGCCAGCTTGCCTGGGCTCACATCACCTCTCCCACCTACTTATTATCGAACTTGGCCAAGTCTGTCAACTGATCTCTGCCTTGATCTCCCGTATTCCTGGAACAGAGATGATGATGGTACTATATATAAAAAACTTGTTAACAGATTAAATAAAATAAGCTTAAAGATGAGGCATAGTTCCTGGGTACAGACTAAGCACTCCATGCATAGACAGGGCGGCCATAAAGCTTATGCGCAATTTAATTCCACGCGCACTTTAGGGCCACCCTGTATAATCACTCAATGCACGTAACATAGCTCTGCGTTATTTTTTCTTACCAGAGCTTCTATTCTCCTTTCCTTCCTTGGGCTACAATGGCTCTGTCATGGTTTTGTCTTTACAACCCACAGGGAGAATTAGCAGAAGTCATGAAGTATCAGGACATTAACCCTGGAGGAAGTCATGAAAATCCTGGTGATTTTCAAGCTGAGCTCTGGGCTGCCCTAGGGCCTCTGCAGAGGTACCTGAAAAGGGGAGAGAAGGGTCTCCCAGCATGGGGGTCCACTCTCTTTAAGCAGGGCAGCACCCCCCCTTAACTGTCTAACATACTGGGTTTCCATGGAAGCCTTATTTTTTAAAAAGTTTTCCATCGTGGAAGACCAAGGGGAACAAAAAAAGTCAAAAACCCTGGAATGAAAGCCCAGCCTCTCACCACACTCACGTAAGGCAGAACGACCCACTGGTAATTAGCCTCCTGATTCTGGTGTGTCTGTGAAGCAGGCAGTTATAATCAGACTTCCAAATGGAAGGCTGCTCCCTTGCTCACCAAGTTCACCTCCAGTCCTCGGTGTTCTGATCTGTCGTACTGGCTCCTGTGCTTTTGGTTGACACTCACACCTCCAGCCCCCAGGAATATGTGACCTGTAGCCTTGCTTAATGGCTTCTGACTGGCTCGGGGATAATTTGCCTTGGACAGGTCTCATATCCTTTATGGCCAGGCTAATGTTCACCCAAATGCAGGGAAGTCCAGGCCCTAGCATCAATAATGGACTGACACGTCTCACCTCCCAGCAGAGGTCACACCAGTGGCACTCCATGTCACAGACTCAATTACAGTGAATCCATTTAAAAGCACTCTCCTTCTAAGGCTTCCTCCACTGTTAAGGCTGGGAGTGTTAAGAAAAAGAGAAAGAATTTTGCCTAACTGGAGGTTTCTCAGACCAATACGAAGAATTTCCTTCTTAGGGAGAGAATGAGGTTATTTAGTTTTGTAAAATGAGCACCATTTATCCTTATTTTCCCTCCGAGTGTCTCTTTATCGGTAGCTGCTGGTACTTTCTGGTGTCAGAGTGTGATCATAAATAATGGAGGATCCATTTTTGTCTCTTAAGCAGCGCACTCTCGAAGTTGAACACATCACACAGCATTACAGTACTTACTAGGGAGGAGATGGAGGGCTGGAGATAGCACTGAACCACACACTCCAGAACCTTCATGGCTGGATGTGCTGGAGAGGAAGCCAGTCTTCCTCACCCACAGCCCCAAACAGCCACAGCCACAGCCACAGCCACAGCCTCACAAACAAAAGCCTCTGTTGGTTAGTGAAGGTCGGTTCTGCTCCTAAACCTTGAATGATTCCTTTTCTCTTCGTTCCAGTGGCCCTGATCTGCGGTGCCGTTAGTATCCTGGAAGTTAACTGACCCTAATTTCTCACCTTCCTCCTCTCTCCCAAGAGAAATCTTACAGGAGATCCAGAGACTTCGGCTAGAGCACGAACAAGCTTCTCAGCCCACGCCTGAGAAGGCGCAGCAAAACCCCACCCTGCTGGCGGAGCTCCGGCTCCTCAGGTAAGAGAGGGGCCCCACGCCCTCCCAGGAGTGTAAATGGTGGAGCTCTTTAATAAAGTCTAAGTGTGTAGCCAGAACGCAGCCCTTAACCACCATAGCTACGGATAAATTGTTATTTTTATAGCACACACCTAGTTGCTGAGATGTGGGGGTTTGCCGAGAAGCTGTTTGTATTTTACTTTCATTTGACACAGAGAAAAGGAAATTGAATTCAGATCAAAAGATCAGAAATAACATCTCTCACTGGAAAAAAAAGTTTGAACTTACAAACATTGCAGGTTTTCCAATTTAAAAGTTTACCTATAACCCATAAAAGGGAGTCTGATATTTTTCTAAAGTGATAGCTTTATTAAAAATCTTAAATGCCTTTTTTTTTATTTTGTTTGAGACAGAGTCTCATTTTTTCTCCCTCGGTAGAGTCCTAATGACATCACAGCTCCAGCAACCTAAGACTCTTGGGCTCAAACGATTCTTTTGCCTCAGCTTCCCAAGTAGCTGGAACTACAGGCGCCTGCCACAATAACGCCCAGCTATTTTTAGAGTCGGGGTCTCACTTTGGCTCAGGCTGGTCTCAAACCATGAGCTCTGGCAATCCACCAGCCTCGACCTCCCAGAGTGCTAGGATTGTAGGCAGGAGCCACTGCATCCAGCCTTAAATGCCTTTAAAAATAGACCTCATACCTTCTTATTCTGTAAATGGATTTAAAAGCCTGGTTTTGTTTGGCCTATCATCATTAAATATTTGAGTTGGAAGGGACCATAGAAGGTCATCTGATTTAACCCCTTCATTTCAGTGAGTCAGAAAGCTAGAGAGTTAACAGGCCTTGGGGGAAGACTGGTCTCTCCCACTACCTCTATGCTGTAAAATGGCAATCTCGCTCTGGGCTCTGCATCAGACTGGCTCAGTACCAAGCCTCGACTATGGCAAACGTATTTGTGTAGCAAACAACACCAAAATAAATTGAAAGACATCATTTGCTACTCAAATGTATTTGTCTAGCAAACAATACAAAAATAACTTCAAAGACATCCCTCGTAGAAATGTCACAGTGATCTTTCACAAGGCACCTTTAGGCAGCAAATATTATATACTTTTCACCTTTCAGTTTGGGTGCCAAGTACAGTCCAGCTGCAGCTCCCCTTGCTCTCCCCATCTGGGACACTCTTCACCTATAACAAGACCCATATACAGATCAGAGGAGCAGACCCGACAAGTCTTGACTTGTGATAAAGAGATCTGGTGAATCTGCAGCTTGTAGGCACTGCTTCATGTGAAAACATCACTTCACACTTTAAAACGATGGTTCTCAACCTTCCTAATGCTGCAGCCCTTTAATACAGTTCCTGTGGGTCGTGACCACTTGCTTGAGAACCACTGTTTTAGAATAACAAACTAATTTAATGAAAGAAACAGAATTCTTTCTTCTCAACCTAGATGATTTCTGGGCCTACCTTCAGAGAAGTGTATTAGAAATCCTTGCACATTCTACTACAGAAGGGGTGAAAATTAAAAAATAATAATAATGAGTACGTGATGTTTTGTATCATCATCCTCATCAAATTTAGGAGTAAATTTCTGCTTGAAAGTATCTTTTGCCAAACAGGATTATGTAGGCTTTGCAAGCCTACAAAGTGAAAGCAAAGCCTAATGGCCACAGAAATTTAAATGAAGGAACCAACTTGGAAATAGTCATTCATCTCCACTTGGCTATCCTGGCTCTGCCTGAAATGTTCATTATTCCTCTTCCATTGGTCACCCCATCCTCTATTAGAGGGATTATGACTATGAATTTTTCACAGGCAGGGTCTTGGGTTCCCTCCATTTAGCTTTTGATTTCTGGATGGTACAATCTGAGAAGGAATCTTAATATGCCTGGTTCGCTGATGATGCATTTTCCAGCTGATAGTTCTGCCTTCTTTGATGTTGCCATCCTGGAACAGACTGAAAGTTCTAAGCATCCTCTGGCCCTGACTTGTGGGCATCCCATGACCCCAGCTGATCCCAGGCTATGCTGAGTAGATTGGGTTTCCTGCAAACCTCTGTGCTTTTAGCCCACACCCAAAGCCTGAGGCCTGAGACCCCTAAATCCCATCTGATTTGTTTTCCTGGCTCCATATTGATTCTTCTGCCCAGAAGGCATTTCTGTGTGCTATTCTGACAGTTAGTATACTTTAAGCTATAATTGCTGTAGCAAACCTGGGAGAAAGATGCTATTATTGTACTCCTTTAATAGATGAGGAAACTGAGATTCACAGAACTTTAAATAAAGTTGAAGACATCATAACCCTTCACTCCTAAGTACTTAATGCATATATTTTCTAAGAAAAAAAAGATACCCTCATAGTTCTATCAACAAATTCAGGAAAGTTAATCTTGATAAACATTATTATCCAATATAAAATCTATAGTAAAATTTTGTTAATTTTCCCAATACTGTCCTAAGAGAAAATGTGTTTTAACACATATAAAAAAATTAGAGATAACATTTTAATTTAAAATTATAAATATTCCCTTAAAGATAAATACATTCAGCTCTAGGAAAATGAAATCACTATTTATAGTCCTTGTTTCCTTACTCTCCTTAGAATGGTGGAGGCTGGGGTGGTGCCTGTGGCTCAGTGAGTAGGGTGCTGGCCCCATATGCCAGAGGTGGTGGGTTCAAACCTAGCCCTGGCCAAAAACTGCATTTGGTAACCACAGGTATAAACACTCACAGAGAAGACTGAATAAAGATATTATTAAATAATTTTTAATTAAATTCAATGTCATGTTTTTAAGAGATTACTACTGCAAGATAAATGCACAAATAACACTTTTTTTAAATGTTGACTAATTCTAAATTAATACCAGTTAACTTTTTCTGACAGATTTTAAGTGTTTCCGTTAGTGTTTCTCGCCTATATTAAAATTTTGCTTTAACCTTCTTCCTAATGTGTTCTTGTGGCCAAAAGGCCAAAAATTACAGAGCAGTATCAAGGAAGGAACTAGAAATAAATTAGAAACATTATCTACTCTTGTCCCAAGGCCAATTATGGATGTACTTGGAACACCGTGTGCAGACAAGGTCAAATAAAAGGCTAATGGATTTGTCATTGAAAAATATTTTTGAATGGGGCAAGACTTTCGAGACTTTAGAAATTTAGACTGGTTCAGCCCTGGAAGACAAAGGCTAAATTAAGACACCATTAACGCCTATAAAAGTATGATGTTCCTGATCCTGTGAATTCAAAAGAGACAATTGTAAAGGAAATGGAAGGAAGGCTTGCTCAGGAGTGAGCTGTAAGTGGCAATATTAGGTAAAAATATAAATGTATTCAAAAAGGATTGGGAAATGTTTATAAATTTTAAATTTATAATTTATTGCAGAGAAAGCCTATATTAAAGTAAATTAGAAATGTCCCATCTATATCCTTAACCTGTCCTCCCACAAAATATCTTTCAACTGCATGAGACATTGATCTAACTCACTGTGACATTTTTATATTGGCAGTGTGTCATTTCGGAGTCTCTGCTGTAGCTCCATTTAATATGGCGTCTATGCCACTGAGTCTGGCCAGAGCGATTCATGCATGAATACGTACACCTTTAAAGCATCCACACGTTTCTAAGAACAAATATTTCAAACTCAAACAGAGGCCTGTGAGGCAAAGGAATATTGTGTGCATTACTTATTCAGTCATGAACATTCAATAATAGATTTGAAATTGGGTTGCATAGTGTACATGTGCTTCAGAAATGTGAACCATTAATATTTTTTTCTTCCCACTGTTTCATTCCTTTCCCCCTTTAGAGATAGTTTTGTTACCTCTTAGTCTCCACATAAATGGAGTATAAATTGCCCTCCATGGTTTCCATTCTTGCGGATAGTTTGATAGAAGTTTTGCAAAACAGGACAAAATTAAACACCCACCGTATGTAGCAATTTCAGTTGTAAAACAATTATGTAGGAACTCCTGTATTGTGACTCCACTTCATGACACCCCAAACCCAAACCAAAAACTTTAGATTGACTATATCTACGTACTACTAAGATTTCACTTCTAAAAGCACCCCTTTGCAGGCTGACAACAGAAGAGATTTAGAGTAAGCTTCTCTAAATCATATTTCCAAATACAAAGGTAATCTATATGTTCTGTGGTTTCTCGCATTTGCAAATCTCTCAGATTGGCCTTTTTCAGGGACAGTTTGAAATCTTCATTTGTTCTTTGTCTCTGGGGAATCCATGGCAGAGCCCAGGGCCCACTACGGACTAAGCATTCAGAATATACTTCATTTTGGTGGTTAGTTCATTCACAGGAGCAAGGTGGAACTCTCTGAAAGGATTCTAAGTCTTTTTAAGTGAAGTGTGACTTCTAACAAATAAAAGAACACCTCACGCTGTCATTCACTTGATGACAGTTCCCTGCCTGGTATCCCTGTCAAAGACCCAGAGATGCCCTTTTTCGGATAGCGCACCAGTCCCACAAGGCTGTGAAACGTAATTAGCTCAGAGAGTTAAATGCTTCTTCTGATGACAACTGCTTCTTTCTCAGACAGCGCAAGGACGAGCTGGAGCAAAGAATGTCTGCTCTCCAGGAGAGCCGGAGAGAGCTGATGGTGCAGCTTGAAGGTCTCATGAAGCTACTAAAGGTAAAGACACTTTAATGAAATGTTTCCTAGACCTATTGCACTTGTTAAAAGTTTTTGCAATTACTATACATGACTTCCCAAAAAGTTCCAAACTCCAATGTAGAACTATCTTTAACAGTGGCAGTCAAAACACTCATTCTCGTCCATTTCCCGGAGCCAGACTGCCGAGGGCCTTCCTGGGGCAACTGCTTCTTGCCTTAGTTCCAGTTTCTTTATGTCCTTGAAAGTAATAAAACTGGATTTATTTAGAAATATTTTATATTTCATAGCTTTCAGCAATTCTCATTAAATTGAACAGAGGCTAATGTCTAATTCAAAAACTTGAGAGAGAGCCATGACCTGATTTGGGTGATGATAGTTTTATTAAGAGGAGCGACTTTGTTGATTTCAGTAAAACATTTTCTCTCATCTGTGTGGCTTAGCGGTAAGTCACGTGATTTCTAGTGGTCTCCATGCAAACTTTAAAGGAGAGTGTCTCCTGAGTCTTCTGTGAGGCGAGAATTTTATTAATACGATGACCTGTAGAATACTGTACTTTATTTTTCTCACTAAGGAGTGGCATTCTTCTTTTAATAAAGCCACCCTTCTTCAATGTCTATTAAATTATATTTCAAGTCAAAACGTTGACAACTTATGGCAACAGTCAGCCCGGGAGCCTTCTCGGTGCTTTGCGATCATCCTGCCTGACTACGGTGTAACCAGGCATCTGGGTGGACACTGTGACATGTTACAGGCCATGAAACTTCTCATAGGAGGACAATGAAGAGAATGGCCCTGGGCAGCTCCCTTGAGGGCCCCCCACATCCCTGACACACCATCACTTGCTGTTTTTATTTTGTCTGTTCTTACGTCCTCTCTTTCTTTTGTTTATCTGTCTTTCTTTTACTTTTTCTTGTTTCTTTCTCTCTCTTTCCGCTTTTATTTCACTTCTTTTTAACAAATGTTTGTTGACACCTACTCTGCTTTTCTAGCCTTTCTTTTGTTTTCCTCACTCTGCTTTAGTCCTTGGTCAACTTTTCCCACCATCGTTGTCTTGGGTCACAGTTAGGGTTGGGAATGCTTTATCTTCACTCAACAAAATTTACTTTTTTGGCAGATTAGACACATGACATGTAGAATTCTGGGGGTGGTTGACCCATGTTGGGCAAGGCAGGAATAGATCATGAAGAATCTGCTGCTGTTTCTGGCCTGTTAGCTCATTTAATAACCCAGAAAAGCTCTTGATTCTTCCCTTTCCAAACACACCAAATGAAGAGGACTCAATTCCTTTATCCCACCGCTGAATGACAGGACGCTTTGAAAGCTGCCCCCTATGTTCTATAACTTCTGTCACCATGCTGATGACACTTTCCCTATGGGACAGGAGTCTATTCACCCAGCCACCTTGGTATCAGCCTAGCCCAGCTGAGCACAGGCTTTGTTGTATCTAGCTGTACAAACACCAGGATGGAGAGACAGATCATGTTGAAAGATGGCTGGAAAGAACCTCTTCCCATGGAGGACAGAGATGATTCTGTAGCCTCAAAGACTAGACTTGGAGCCATAGTCACTGAGGTGGCAGAGGCCCAAACTGGCAGCAAACCCTGTTGATATTTCCCCGGTCATGCATTCCTTCACGCTGTGTACATGCTCGTATTGGAACCCTGGGTAATCTAACTGTTATTGATTCAATCTTTCTGTAGGAAGAAGAACTGAAGCAGGGAGTAAGTTATGTCCCCTACTGCAGGTCTTAACTAACAGTGGAGGGGCCTGCCGACCTGCTGTTTTCTCATTGCTTTTGCCTCTAATGTATGTTCATGCTTCAGTTTGGAAAGAGAAAAAACAATTATACTAATTTGCTTCCTTTTCAACATAGTGCTTGAATTAAGAGATATATAATTGAGCATTTTTTATAACTATCACTACTATCGACACCAAAAGAAGAGCTATTACATCTTTTAGAAGAGGGAACAAATCGTCACTTGTTGGAAACTTTTCAGATCCCCAGGAAGAAAAGTTTCATCCCAGTCTTGTGCTTGTCAGGGTTGTTGATCAGATCCTTGTCTTAATAGAAAGATAACTACCGCAGACGCTAGAGCTACCCTAAGGTGTGTCTCAGCTCAAAACCCACAGCATTCAAAAGCTAACCTCTGTATCATCTCATGCTGTGACTATTCAGTTCACTTTTCCATTTTACTGAAATGGTGTAAAACCCCTTTTGATGAAAATCAGGCAATGAAATTTCTTTTCCTCACATAATTAAGCCCTGTTCCCCACTGCTCACCAAAATGTGCTCAATTTTGTGAGAGAAAGACGGTACTCAGTAACTGTTCACTTCCCATCTTTTTGCTTTTTCTCTAAAGCTGAATTTATACTGTTGGTTGACAATAACCTCTAAAGAATAGGTAATTTTCAGCCTTTTTCTTATCACCAAGAACCCTTCTGCTCTGAGAGTTCAGAAGGTCATGACATAGATTTTTTTTTTTTTCTTTTTCTGGAGATAGGGGCATTGCGACATTCACCATAGTCTAAACTGGAGCTGTGTCTGAACCTGTGGTCAGGTTCAGAGCCAGCAGAGGGAGCAGCATACTGGAAAAAAATTAAATTAAAAACAAAAAGCAGCTTTAATTTCAAGTGCATGTACCAAGCTGTGTATGACAATATATCCCATTCACTGGCATTATTACAAAGTTTTACATTATTTCCATGGAACCATTAGAACCCAGCCTGTCCAATTTCAACGTATCTTTTAATTCTTCTGTATGCTCTTTGCTATTATTCATTGTGTGTGTTTGTGTGTAACAAAGAATGTTTGCAAACTGCTGGACACATTTTTACCCTTCATTCCCATGGTCTGTAAAAAAAAGGAAAGTGTAAAATCAATCTGTAATGTCAGACAATAAAGACAATGTATTACATTATTTTGTATTTCGTGAAAGACATTACTTTACTATGGTTAAATGTTAACAAGAGACAGTCCCTCTGCATGAAGGACACGCCACATTTACAGCCTGTATAATTGCCCATCAATGCGTACATGGGCCACTGCTATTGTACTGCCAATACACTTAGATCATGGTAGAGAAAAATGCCTTTCTCGGGGTACTTCTCTTTGCAAACGGCCTCTTTTCTCCCCCTGTTACTTAGCATGTACATTTAAAAAAGGAAATGAGACTCAAATATAACCTTTCTTCTCCTGGCGGAGAGAGAGACAGTGGTCCTGTGGCGCATCAGCCTTGCTTTAGCCACTTCCTCTGGACATCCCCTCCCTACCATTTCCTGGGCAGCGTGTTTCTGAAAAGTTTCCCGCAGCCCAGGAAGTTCATCACAGGTGGGTGCACAGGGCCGAGCTACGGCAGTGCCTGTAACGCTGCACCCTGCCTCCCCCCTTCCCGCTCCTCCCCCCGGAGTCCCTCAGCAGCTTCTGCATCTTGGGTGTTGGCCAGCCGGGCTCATCAGCGTAGGCACCTGAGGGCGTTGGTCCCCACCATCCAGATTTGTCTGCTAGGCACTATCTGGGCAATGGGGAGAATTTGCCCAATTACTTCTTTATCTGCTTTTATGCTCAGGCCTCTTTTCACAAAGGACCTGAGGCAGCTTCCAACAAAAGGTATAAAAAGCAACTTCGTAACATTGAAATCGAACAAGAGAAAACTAAAGAAAAATACGAATCTGCTCATCATAAAGGGCAGGGGTGTTGCTGCGAGCTTTCTGCCAAGGTAGCAATAAAGGCAAACATCACCAGTTATTTAATCAGGACGGAAAGACCGCTTCTCGGGGGAACAGAATTTCTGTGGGTGTAAAATGTTAACAGAAACTTTTCACTCGTAGCTTTAGAGAAGAAATACTGAATAATAAAATGAGGAAAGGCAGTCATAGATTTCATGTGGCTGCTTCTTCTACTGACCTTCCATCAACATGAGAGGCAGAACCCCCTAAATCTTAACCCTATAGAGGCAGTTCTACAAGGACGTAAACAGATGCCTGTGCAAATATATAGGCTGCTTGTGGTCTGACATGATCTAAGGGGAGAATTTAGAGGTTTTAGACTGGCATACGCTTCTAAATTCTGTTTTTATTTATGAGCCTTTTCCCTGTGGGGACCTTCTTTTTGTAAAACCAAACTTAAAACACCCCCCACGCAACCAATTGTGCTTGATTTAGTGATTTCTACTTGCTTTATCATAAATCTGTGCGGTTCAATGTAGTATTTTATTATCCTGGTATATACAATCCCTACTCAGCATTGTTTCTTGTTAGAGGTAATGCATGAATTTATTCCCTTTGAGGAGAGAACATGAATTTTAAAAAAGTAGTGCCTGTAATATAGTATGATTATGGTATCACAAGCAATAAATTTTTTTTACAAAACTTGAATTGAAGTCATCCTACCCTCTTTCTTCTTTGTGTATCTTTACGATTTCTTGAAGGAAACCACGAAAAGAACACTCATAAAGAGCTTAAGAACGAGGCAGCTGGGGTGTAATTGCAGTACAGCACGTTCCAGAGTTTCTGGTACACTTCCAATTCCAAATCTGATGACCCAGTCTAAAACCAAGGATCCTGACTTGGGGTCCAGAAAGCAAGGTCTCAATAATAATTTTCTGAGAAAGGTTCCTGACATTAGACCTGAATCACAGCTCTTGGCTCCCCAGTGTAAATCTTGAGTAAGTTGATTAACTTCCTGGTAATCTGTTTCATACAGGTAATCACAGGGCTCATGGGATTGTTGTATTGATTTGAAAGGATAATGGATGTGAGTGCACTACTGAAAATACCACATAGATGTGAAGTAGAAGTCTGAATGTGTGTACATGTGCACACACATATGCACGACATACACTTTTCAAACGTGGCCCATATTTTGTGTACATACACACACACGCAGTCAAGTTTTCCTCCTCACACTTAACTAACAGTGTCTTTTTCAGGGAAGAAATTTCAATAGGACTTTTCATTTATTCAGATCTCTTATGATTACTTTTAGCAGTCGAAAAAAGAGTCATTCTTATTTAACTGATACTAGACAGTACCAGTCTAATCAGATTACATTTTTCCATTTCTGGGAACATCAGGTACAATCCTAGATATGTCATTGTCTGTACAGCGTTGCTGTCACCCACATTTGAGCAGGTATTTTATTTTATATTTTTTATTAAATCATAGCTGTGTACATTAATTTAGTCATGGGGTACAGTGTGCTGGTTTTATATACAATTTGAAATACTTTCATCAAACTAGTTAACATAGCTTTCATGGCGTTAAGACATTTATATTCTCTATTTAGAAAGATTCACATGTACCCTTGTAAGATGAACCATAGGTGTGGTCCCATCAATCACCCTCCCTCCACTCAGTGAAGGGCTGAAAGCAGAAGGTACTTTGTTCAGTGTGCAATATAACATCCAAGGCTTTTTCTGAAAGTTTTCTTTATAATATACGTGTTTGTGTAAGATGGGTGACTGGTACAAGGTACATATTTTAAAGGATCAAAATTAAGTTAGCGTTAATTTGCAGGGCTTTTTTTTTTTTTCAAACTTACAATGAGGATTCATTTAGAAAACTACATGTTGGCATCAAGTTATTCTTTGGAAGGATAGGGTCTCTACACTGGTATTATGTTAAATGATGTAATTTTTCTAATTTGATAGGGAAATAAAACAAAGGCAAATATCATTCTAAATTCCATCTCCTGCCCCTATTCTTTTATTTATAACTTAAAGATCTAATTGATTCAGGAAATTGTAGTCGTCAGGTTCTTACTTCTTCCAAACACATTATAAATACACCAGGCCAAGAGTGACCAATTTTACCAGTTTGGGTTTGGCTTTCCTTCCTCTCCCTTGGCTCATCCCGCCTGGTGGGTATTCTGTGGGGTAGTGAGCCAGTCAAAAAGGAGGGAGAGGGACGATTTACCTCTCAAATAATCACTATAATATGAAGACTGGGATGATCTCGTGTTCCAAACGTGCCCGCCCAGACTCTCTTCCCCTCTCTCACCTTTTTAAATTAAGAATTGATTTGATTAATTCTAAAGCAGGAAAAATTATTTCTCTGCTTAAAAACCTTGGAAGAGGACCCCCCAGATCAGGATAAAGTCTACACTGGGGGCCCTCAAGCTTGGCTCCCCTCTTCCCATTTCTCTGCTCCCTGCACCCAGTCTGCTGGTAGAGCCACGCTGGCCTTCCTTCCAAGTCCACGTTACCCTTCACACTTCCTACGTCTCACACTATGCTTCTCCTCCTAAAACGTGCTCTTTTCTACCTGGAAATCTGCACTGTTAAAACCCAAGTCAAATGATGCCTCCTGCCTGACCAGAATTAATCAGCTCCTCTGTGTCTCCACAACACTTTCTACATAACAATCTCTTTTAAAAGGCCAATTATGGAAATTATTGTCGGAAGGATGTTAGTAAATGTTTGATGAATGTTTATGAATAAAGGGTAAGAAATAGGGTTGAATGCAGCTAAACACGGTTTTACTGTGCTCAGGCTGCTAAGTGTAAGAGGCATGACCAGATCTAACGGCTCCATTCCACAGGCCTAGGGGAGGGGAGTGCATAACCTCCACTGCTTCACCAGGGTGTGCTGGCTCAACAGTTAGACACTGGAGCCTTTCCTTGAAACAGCCCTCATTTCTAGGGTTGAGAAGAAACCAAAATACTTTCTGGGGGAAAAAAAAAATCAGAAAATTTATTATTCTTGTCAGACTTTTTAAAAATTGATACAATAGCAGGTTGAGTAGGCCCTGAAGATGGCATGTAGAAATTAATTTTTCATTTATTCTCGAGGAAGAGAGCTATTTTAAATTTGCCAAGTGTGATATATGTTTTCCTTCTTCCATAAATCAACTCTCTTCTGGGGAATTTTAGATCTATATATTGATCAGCATGGACCACTGTCCCTTAAGCTTTAGCTCCATTAATCACTGAGTAATTTCCAGGCAAGGATGTTCACAGAGATTATTCCCTCTCACTCTTCTGAAGTTGTTAGCAGATGCCTGTGCTTCGTGACCAGGCAAGAGGCCACCACCCCTGAAAATGAGACTTAGTGATATTGCCACTGATCTGCCCAATGCCAAGAAGTAACTGTCCTTTCCCAGTGGCTCTACCAGAAAGGAAAGCCAGAAATGGCCTTCCTCACGGTAGGTGCTAGGAGATAGTATGCATCAAACTAGTCTGTGTCCCAACAAAGAGTTAAGATGGGGCCATTATCACCTAGGAAATCAGGATCCTATCGTACAAGTCTGGGTTAAGACTAGATGTGAATGAAGAGTTGCAAATTGCAGGAAAAATAGAGCCAAATGTTTTCTTCAGCCTAGACTCTTCTGCCTAAATTCTTCACATAATCAAACTGCTTGAAATTGCACCAATTAGAGATTTCATTTGGGAGATGGTGCCCATTAGTCCTTCACGTATTGGTGTAATTTAGATTCAGTCCACTGTTCTTCCCTTAACACATAACAACAGTCAATTATTTTCCTCTTAACACAGAACCACTAATAGGAGTTTTGAAAAAGGCAGCAGGAAAAGTTGGCTCTGGAGACGAGGCACTAAGGACGGAGAGGTAGGGCTGGGGCTGCTTTAGAGAAACACAAGTTCACAGCAGAGCCCAGAGCCAGAGGAGCAGGGGAGAGGTTCACAGAGAAGACGGAAGGGCCAGATGTTTGCCTCTCCCCACAAATGCTGCCCCAGGGAAGGGAGCCAGTGTAACAGGTGCAAGCAGGGCTGGTGTGCACTGCAGTCCCTGTGCAGCCAATAAAATATTGAAATACAGTCCATGGCCCCAAATCTAAAATCACTGGGTCCAAATATGCTGCAGAACTTGGACTTTTTCAGGTTTTTGAAAAGCAATACGAGGCAGATTCCCTATCAATGGCTTCATATCCATTAGGACCAAACTCATTATGATACGACATGTGTTTGTCAGAGCTTTTTGGATTTCCAAATTGCGGACAAGATATTGTGAGCCTGCATTTCTGTACCAGTAAATAGCCCAAAGGCCCTCCCGCCACCCTGAGCATCCACAGCTTTCCCATGACCCAGCAACAAAAAAGTACTGCCTGGCCCAGCAGGAGGCCCTAGGACGCTGCTCCAGCACCACAAAGTAGCAGGTCTGTGTCCTGCATCTTCTCAGCCTTTGGGCTGCTGAAGTTTCATGTTTCGATGAGGTGAAGTTTCAATGAGGTGAAGACAAAAGCCTGTGATGGCTGGTCATGGTGCCCAGTGCCCACAATCCTAAGAAGCAGTGTGGTAAAGCCCTGGGCTTGGAGTCTAAAGGCTGAAGATTCATTTTATTTCCACCATTGAATAGCTCTAAGAGACCTTGGGTAAGCCAGTTATCTCCTCTGAGCCTCAGTTTGCTAATCTATAAAATGGGAAAATAATACCTCATATGGTTTTTAGGAGTAGTAAGTGGAGTATGGTATAACCTCCATAGTTGACCACCTCTCTACATTGACTACCTCCTTAACTTGACCTTACTTTCATAGACTAGACATGCACCACTTGTATATATAGTATGGTAGGCCTAGTTACTTATGTTGACTACCTCTGTATGTTAATTAGTTTCTTACAGTCCCTTGGGTGGTCAGCTTACAGAGATTCTACCATATTTGGGGTTAAAATGCTTTACAGATTGCAAATCGCTGTTCAGATACAGGATATCACCATTCCTACTACTCTATTAGGAAAATGCAACAATATATATAGAAGTGCTTCATACACTGTGAATTATACATGAAAAGTAGAGTTGAATTATTACTGTGAACTTTTTACCATCGGGAGGACCTGGGTTCTGAGAGTTGAGAGGATAACCCACATTGATAGCCAAGAAGAGCCCACTTCTTGCAACTGCTCTGTCCACCTTCCCATCTCCTGTCCCCCCTCCCTCTGGTGACTGCTTCTTTGGTAAAGAGGACAAATAAGAAAGGCCCAGGAGCCCTGCTGAGGGCTCTGCCTTGAACAGGATGCACAGAAGGGGTGGCCAGGGGTAAGTGCACAGCACCTGACCAACATCTGTCTCCTCTGAGGGACTCTCCACCAGCCATGGCCATCATGGTTCCTGTGGCCCAGGGCACTCAGAGCCTCAGGATCCAGACACCAACCTGCCACTCGGGCTCCATCCCCTGATAAAGCAGTTCCTTTCAGCTCTCTGAGCACTGGGATCCACAACTGCACCTTTAGACTGATGCCTACATCGTAGTAACTTGGAGAAAACCAATAAGAATGTACAGGAAATCCATTTCACCATCATAAAGCACAACACATAAGTGAAGTTATTTACATGGGAGACTGGGGGGGTGCAGTGGTAGCTCAGAAGCACCAGGTTTCAAGGTAATAGGGCTAAGCTGCCAATGCCTGCTGGCAAAAACCAGAC